GACTTTTACATTACTCATCTGCATCTATCACATGACAGTAGCACTAATCCAAAAGCCATACTACACCTGCAAAGAATCTCTCGTTAGAATCGCATTTTATCTGCTTTTTTTTACTCATTATTAGATCTTTTTCTGATTTTAGTTCAGATTATCGATATCAAAAAATGTTTGAATCCTGATAATGTCGTTATTAATCATCTACTTGATCGATCATATTCTCATATTGATGATAAAAAAGTATTTTCAAATGCATTCAAACTTCTACATGGTTATCATCAAACTCCAAATGAAACATTAGATGCCTCATTTAATCAAATAGTTGATGAACCATTAACAGCCGAAAAAATAATTGAAATTATAAATAATAATCAACTATTAACACCTTATGTTGTTGATAGTTTAAAACGTTGTCATGCTTTACATGATATACAAACAATCATTTCACAATGTTTAGATTTAGAAAATGATATTAATGATAAAACTATTCGTAATCAATTCGAAGATTTAATTGATAATCTAACGACACGCATTTTATTAACGATAACGATTGAAAGTATGTCATACGAAAGTCAACGTTTTCTAGCTAATTTTATTAAAAGAAATGATTTACCAATACCATTTACTTATTATGCATGGAATCCAGTTGTTGAAGAATTGAATTATAAAATTAATTTTAATTGTTTGATTGAACCATTATGTTTAACAAGTGATCGTCTATATTTACAAATCGGTAGTGATCGATGTGCAGGTTTAGGTAAAACAAGTTTATTACCATTTATATTCAATGACAAACGTAAAGAATCATTATTTACTGATGGTGATAACAAGTATCGTAATTCATGTATCGATATTTTATTTGGTAAAACAAAACATTCATCATACACAATTTTCGATGTTCATGGTACAATTGATGAGAAAAATACATCGTTAATAAAAGCGATTCAAGCTTATACAGCATTACAAGTAATATATGTGACGGAAGATGATCTTCCTGATCCATCATCGAATAATTCGAAAAATGACTTTTTGAATACTGTTATGAACTATTCATCTTATTCATCAAGTATACCGACAATTGTTGTTATATTTAGTTCAGATTTTGATAAAGAAGATAAAACACAAGAATTAATTAGTCGTTTTCAAAATTATTATGCAAATAAACATGTTTCAAATATGTATTGGTCAGTATCATCAATGTCAACTACAATGAAAGGATTAAGTGAACCGAAAAGAAGACGACATATTGAACGATTAAAAAGTCAATTTTCTCAAATATTAGAAGAAATTGAAAGTAAAACAACAACAACAGCGACACATTCACAATTTCGATCATGTTTTTCAATACAAGAACTTTATTTAAATCTTAAAAATAAAAAAAATACAGAAGTAAAACGTATACATGTGAAATTTGAGATTGAAAATCGATTAGAAGAATTATTCAAATCAAGTACAGATCGAACAGAAAACTTAAAAATAATGACACCAACAAGTTATTATCGATCAGAAATGGATACAATAAAGAAAAAAAAACTATCGAATATTATGAATGATTCAACAACAATAGAAAATTTAGATCGACGTCTAAAACAATTCGAAATTGAGAAAAAATCAAAAGCTGGTTATACTCCATATTCATTATTTATGATTGAATTATTAAATAATCTTACTTATATTGATTTGTTAATAACAGATTTTTATTTAGAAAAATGGCGATTAAAATATGTGCCAGGAATTAAAGAAGAAAAAGAAAAAATTAAATCCGAAAAGAATTTACAGAAGAAAAAATTAATTGAACAACAAAAATTAATTGATCATGAAAACGAATCAACTGCTGCTTCAAATAAAAACATCAATGAGAAACTTTTCAATGATTTGAAAATGTTACGTGAAGAAGATGAAAGATTAAAAGATCAGCTAGTAGAAATTGATAAAAAACTAGCTAATGTTGATTTAACAATTGGTTTATTTTGTGACGAATTATTTGAATTATATGATTATTTTCATGATAACCAACCAGTTGAATTAGAAAAAGCTCAAGAAGATTTTGTTAAAGTGGCAAAAAGTATTGCAAACTTGGTGAATAAAGGTTTTGCTATTCACATGTTAAGAGCAAGACCATTAATTTGTCAATCACGTTTAATGAAAATGGCATTAGAACATTTATATGTGAAAAAATCTTGTCAATTAGTTATTTTAACTGTTGTTGGTGAACAATCGTCTGCCAAGTCATCATTGTTGAATTCAACATTTGGTTGTAATTTTCGTGTTAGTGCTGGACGTTGTACAATTGGAATGTATTTAGGTATTTCATTTTATATTATAACTATAGGGACAAAAGAGTTATTTGAATTTTCCTATCACATTCACATTCACATTCGATCAGTTTCAATCATCTTTCTTAGAAGAATGAATAGAGACAAAGTTGATCAACAATCAAAGTCATGTAGTTATAGTTAGGATGTTATTTTGGAATGAAAATAGATAATTATTATATCATCA